AATTTTTTTTATATACTTACCAATTTTATTATTAAATATAAATTAATAAAAATAAAACAAAATACAATATAAATATATAATTACCTTTAAAAAAAAAGTGAACACTTTTTTTTTGTTGGGAAAAAAGTGAACACTTAAAAGAGAGTATTTTTTTTACTAGATTATATTATATTATCCATATACGTATACACCATCAATGATTTAACCACTCATAAGAAAAAAATTGTGTCTTTTTTTCAGAATTCTTTCTCTTTATCAAAAACTAAAACTTGATTTCCATTTAGGGTTGTTTTCTCTCTCTCTCTCTCTCTCTTGGATTTCATTCCAAATTCCAATCCTGTGTCTTCCTAAGAGGTAGGTATGGTCAATGCTTCATCTTCTTCATTCCTAATGTCATTTTACGCTTTTACCCCTTTTCTTCCTTCATTCAACGTTCATCGCTTTCGCACAGCTGCCAATGGAAGCGCCGGCGACGGCAACGGCAACGCTCCTCTCACCACCGCCCTCGGTTTACCTCCGAACACCCTCGGCACTCGCCTTCCGCTCCAATCATCGGTTCCCCACTAAGGTATTATTAAATCAATTATTTATTCCCTTAATTAATTTTGGATTGCAAGTTAATATGTTATGGTTGATGAGAATTGTGAGTTTGAGAATCTGTCGCTGAAATCATTCCTTGCCGCTTAGCATGTTGATGGGATGAAAGCGAGCCTGAATTGAATTCAATGTGTTGAGACTGCTGCTTGCTATATGGAAAGACAAAATATGAGTTGAATTCCACTTGGAAGTATTCATGTCACTAATGAATGTGTTATTTATTAATTGGTTGCTTTTAGCATGCTTTTGTGTGTGTTTGGTTTAAGTGGGGAAGTATCGGAATTGATTTTGCCTTTTGTCAAATGTGTTATTAAGTGTGTGTCTGGGTAAATATCTCTACAAGTCCTTTTTGGAGAAAAAAATGGAAATAAAATTTTTCATAAGATAAAAGTAGCTCGTGGATAAGAACTAGATTTTGGAGAATATTATTTTGTCTAATGGAGAAAGTGTCTATAAATTAGATTGTATAAGCTAATTTTAGCTTATGGAGAAGATTATTTTATTTTTTTCTTCCTATTTTTCTTTTCTAGAAGTGCTTTTAAAGAAGTTTACTCAATCAAACCCTTAGTAGAACCACTAGGGTTAGCCTAATGGTTGGAGGGTTGAGGTAGCTGCATGAGGACATAAGTTCGATCCTTATTCTCATCGTTGTACCTATAAAAAAATAAACGTGGATTTAGTAAAGATACACAAGTGATAAAGTAATTTTACCTCCAACCCTTGGTTTGTTTAGAAGTGATAAAAAGTATTTTTTGGGTTAGGTTAAAAAATTTACTCTAAGTTATGCATCAGAGTTGTTTTCAGGGTAAAAGTATTCAAACACAAATAACTTTACTTCCAAATCAATTTTTTAACCAAAACCAATATCATTCAAAATTAATTTTGCAAATACTGACCCAAACACACACATATTGGATAGTATTGTCGTTTTATGGTCAGTTTTAAAAGGGGTTATAAAAACCATTCTTGATATACATCAAACTTGCTTTCAGGGTAAAAATATTCAAATATAAATCACTTTACTTCCAAATCAATATTAACCAAAATCAATTTTGTGAATGCTCACCCAAAAACACATTGTCTTCTGGTTTTATGGTTCAGTTTGAAAAGGGGTTATAAAAAAATGCTTGTCCCTAATTTGAATCTTGCAAATGATATTAAGAGGTTTTCTTGTTTGATTGTAAATTTGTGATGTTGATGTCTCTTGTCTTTCCTTGTCATTTGTCCAGTGTTATTGGCTTGCCTGAGTTATACTGTTCAATGTGCATTTCTCAAATTATTATTAATATTATTATTTTATTGTATGTAAGAGGTTTTAGGGATTATTTATTTGCTCTCTGAGTGTCCTTGGTGGTTGGCAGTTAAGCACTTCTCTTTCTATCTACAAGCAAGGTCATGGGAAACTCTGTATTGGAAGTAGAAGGGGTTTTGTAGTTAGAGCTGCATTGTCGTCTCCAGAGTCATCTGAACCAAGTTCCAAGATTGCTCCACTTAAGATGGAGTCTCCAATAGGGCAGTTTCTATCTCAGATTTTGATAACTCACCCGCATCTTGTGCCAGCTGCAGTAGAGCAGCAGCTTGAGCAATTCCAAACTGATTTTGATGGTGATAAACAAAAGAAGGAGCCTTCTGCTTCAGGCACTGACTTAGTTTTATACAGGTTTGCTTTATACTTGATGATATCTGATACTCGACTTAGTCACTATATGTTTTTCATAAATCTGGGAAGCTAGTTTTCTTATTTTTTGGTAAAATCTAAACAATAGGTGGTCCATAATGTATGACTTACATACCCTGGTGCCAGAAGGCACTGTGTGAAGGTATTCCTTGCGTATGCAAAGAGGCTGTTCTGTATTCAAACCTGTGACCAAAGGGCAACTTTACTGTTGCACCAGGGTTCGCTGTCGTAGTTCATAATATATACACTGAAATTTATAATTCCCTTCTCATGCATTGTATTGGGCCTCGTTGATTGATCGATGCTACATTTTACTTTATAGATAAGCAAATATTTCCAAGGAAATTTACTTGTTTAGCTTTGTCATTATCAGTAATTTGTTGTTTGGAGTTTAGCAGAGGAATCTTTGCTACTTGTGTGACTTTCTCTTCTTTGAAGCTGTTGTGCATTTTTTTCCCTTTTTCTTTAAAATATTTTAAGTCTCTTCTGTATACATTTAATTATAGTTTTTTTAGAGCTGTACCTCAATAGACTTGATCATAAATCTTTAATTTGGAAAAATTACTGAAAATAATATCTTACAATTACAACAAAAAAGAAGTCTTATCCCACTAGGTGATGTTGACTACATGAATCACACAATGTATTTGGGTTCAGTTAAAAACCAATTTCTCAGAAGCATCTCCAGTGGGTGCAATGTAAGCAACCCACTTTTGCTCCAACAGTGTAATTTTAAGCAACTGTAAAGTAACCCACACTATTAGGATTTTTTTTTTATTTGCACTTAATTTGTTTCAATTAAAATATAAAATATTAATTCAATTATTTTATCTTCTTCCCCTAATCTCTCAACCGCTGTCTCTGTCTATCATGACCTAAAATCTCATCATCTCCCCTAAATCTCTCAACTTTTCAGAACCCTTGATTTCCCTCTCATCTTATACAATCTCTCAATGTTCCAACCCTTTCACCCTCAATCTGTCCTTCCCATCATCCAACACCCAGATTCCTCTTCCTTTCTCTGCTTCAAACCTTCCCTTTCTCTGGATAAGAGCTTCTCCCAACACTCATCAACTGGAAGCCAGGAGCAGTGGCTAAGTGACCCATGATTTTATTGTTGCTTTCTTTTAGTTCTGTTATATTGTATTTTACTGGTTATTTGTTGTATTCTTTGCGCATGTCCAAGATAATATCTCAATGGAGATAGAATTAGTATATTAATGCATGTTTGCAATTATTACTCTATTAGATTGATAGGTTCATTTTTATATATTAAAATTATTTTGGTGGAGGGGAAGCAAGAGATGTTTTTGAAAATCAGGCTTTGAATAGAAATGACATTCTATTTTATCTCGTGTAAAGTTTGAATTTCATGTATATATCAAATCTGCCCCAATGATTTTAAGTAACTGTTTGGTGGAGAAATATTGTCTGTATCTTATCATAAAAAGCACAATGATTTGTAGAATTGAATTTACTTGTGAAGAGAGTGTCCATGCAATGTTACATTGATGTATTTGTGGATTTTACCAATCGAAATTTTTTTACTTTGAATTCAGCATAAAATTTTGATTTTAGAAAGAATAAAACCAGTATTCAAGAATGATTTATTTATTGGTTGCTGTTTGCTATCTGAAAGTGTCTTTGTAGTCATAAAGAACTGAGGTGTTTTTTTAATTGAATTGAGGTGTTGACCACTGAGCCAGCTTCCAAAATTTTTCAGGAGAATTGCTGAGGTTAAGGCTAAAGAGAGGAGAACAGCTCTAGAAGAGATATTGTATGCATTGGTGGTGCAAAAGTTCATGGATGCCAATATTTCTTTGATACCCTCCTTAACCCCAAACCCTTCTGGTCAGGTTGATTCTTGGCCAATTGAAGATGGAAGACTGGAGGAGCTTCACTCACCTGAAGCCTATGAGATGATCCAAAACCACTTGGCTCTCATTTTGGGCAACCGTTTAGGGGATTCAACATCTGTCGCTCAGATCAGCAAAATCAGAGTAGGACAGGTCTATGCAGCTTCAGTAATGTATGGGTACTTTCTTAAGCGGGTTTTCCAAAGATTCCAGCTGGAGAAGGCAATGAAAATTCTTCCTAATGCAGCAGAAGAGAATAGCATTCAACAAACTGTTGTTGATGATTCAAGAATCAGTGGTGGAGAGAGGCCTTCTCAAGTTATGTCCCATCCTGAAGTTTCTACTTTGCCTGGTGGCATCAGCTCAGGAGGATTTGGTTATGGTTCGAAAGTATCCAGATTGCGTACCTATGTGATGTCCTTTGATAGTGAGACATTACAGAGATATGCGACACTAAGATCCAAAGAGGCTCTCAGCATCATCGAGAAGCACACCGAAGCATTGTTTGGAAGACCTGAAATGGTTGTATCACCGGAGGGGATAATCGATTCTTCTAAGGATGAGAGCATCAAAATTAGCTTTGGTGGTTTGAAGAGACTTGTTTTAGAAGCTGTTACTTTTGGTTCTTTTCTCTGGGATGTTGAGAGCTATGTTGACTCAAGGTACCATTTTGTCCTGAACTGAGTTCAGCTCACTCCCATGCACCTCAAGACTGTGTATGAACCGGAGTACTAATATTTTTCACCTCTTTGATCATAGTGGATCTGATTTTTACTAAGAATAAATTGATATCTTAAAATTAGATATTTGCCCATTTGTTTATCCTCTGTTATCATGATTTTTGTAGGAGCATTATTTTTGAAAACAATAAAGATCGGTCAAATTTCAAATTTTGAATGATTGTTGTTGTAGCAATTATAATAAGAATGACTGATTACAGTGTTTGACTTCAGGATTTCTTGTAGTTAGATGGACATTTATCATTTTTACACTAATGGATGGATACACAATTCATGACCAAGACAATGCTAAGTTCCTAGAATGTTAATAGTATTCCCCTTTTGTTATCTTTTTTACCGATAGAAAGTGAGCCATTCAAAAAAGACGATTCATTGGTAATTTGGTGAGCTCAAACTAAGGGTTTTAGCTTTTTTGAGTCGGTGTATATTTTTGCAGTAGTTGAGTTTAATTGAGATTAAAACTGTTGAAGTGTGATATGTTACAATTAAATTGTGATATTGTAGTTCAAGTATGATATTATAATGGTGCTTAAGGTGTTATGATTTTTATTGTTGATATTATAGTTTAAGTGACACGTGCCCAGGTATCCATGTAACAATTTATAGAACTATAGAACACAACTGTGATATTAAAGTGAAGTTGTCTGATGGATGTTCACAAATGTATGTTGAATTAGGCGATGCCTAATAGAATAGGTAAACCAAGAAGATAGATTTTAGGTTCTGATATCATGTTAGATTTTATTTTAAAACTAATTAGCATCAAGTGAAGTTATCTAACAAATATATAAATCACATCTGAAGAATTGAGATAAACGATTTGTGACTTTTCAACACTATTGTCTTTAATTTTCTTTGTCCAATCTTAGAAAGCAGAAAATGGAAATTTGACAATAAAAGAATTCATTAGTTCCTTGCATAAAGGAAAATTCGTTCAGCTCACCATAATCAGTATTAAATTTTATAATCTTCTGTTTTAATTCTATCAGTTGGTTTGGAGCGGATCAAAAGGTTTTTCGAATTGTTTGATAGAGGTTTTTCGAATTTCTAGCTCATACAGTTTTTTATTATCTATCGGTGAAAATTTTCATTAATAACATAAACAATTAGAAAATAATAGTAAGTTGCTGAGATATGATCCTTTTACTTGTATAGTGTAAATAATTCAGATGCTTCTTAACTATCACTCTATCAGCCAAAAATAGCAAAGGCAATCTTCTCTTGTTTACCATAAATGATTTAGAGATGCATCTTGATTATTTGCGTGGTATAGCAAAATGCAACCTGATATTCTGTTTCTGTCACAGTATCTTCTGCCATATATTTTCGTTTTGCCTTGTTGCATACCT